AGCACTTCGGGCCGAGCCTCGTGCATGCATGACTCAATACGTTCCTAGGCTCCCAGCTCACAGTGGAATGCGATCCACAGCCTCTGCCTACTCTGCTGGTGGCCAGTCTGGTTCCGAGACGCTCGTCTGCAGAAGCCAGAGGAACATACCGCCGTCTGTCAGCGGAGACAGACCAGGTCCGCGGGGTTAAGCCAGCTGAAAGCGCCAAGGCCGATAGAGGGGCATTAGGCGGGCGAATGGCAAGGTGAGGGGCACACAGCGTTCATTAGCATTCGCCGCTGAGAACAACGGCCTAGAGATGAACCAAGGTGATTCGTATAGGCTAGACGTTGAGCGGCAATCCAGGCTTTGGAGTGACGTATACCGCCTACTGTTGCTGAACGAGGCCTCTGGTGAGCCTCTGAGCGCTACTGTACGTACTTCAGAGGTCGCTGCTCAAGTAACTGCTCCCAGATGACCAAGAAAGGGCCGGCAAGTCGAGGCACGTGCGAGTGCGAAGTCGCTGTCCCGGGGACGAGGAACTGCGGCGGCGGCGGATAAGCTGTGGTAAGCACCAAATGGCGGCTGCTCAATGCGCTTTCGGCAATTGACCCAAACCCGTTGCAGCATTCGGAACATACGTTTGGGCGGGAATGGACGGCCGCCTCGTGATGTCATGTGGCCCTCTAGCAGGAGGTCGTTAGTACCGCAGATCGATGTCCAGAAGCTGATACCCAGCCAGGTTCGTGGACCTGTTCCACCTTACGCACTCTCCCCTCAACTTGATACTGCTCGCTGCGACTATTCGCTTACTGGCCCAGGTCTGCACAGGCTGCCTGGGGCCACGAAGGTCCCACGCGCGACAACATCCATATGTGACCGTCTGGCGTGGCGCCAACAGGTATCACGAGCCGCGCTTACGACCTCCTCCCTTCGCCGTCGGCGCGTCGCTGGTCCAGTGCGTAGATCGTCCCCCGCGCTGCGTGAGTATGACTCTGTTGATACGCTGCGCGTGTCGCACTAAGGCAGGCTTCCCTGACAGAACCTTCTGCGTGTCGTCTGATAATAGGGCATACGGTGTTCTCTACATAGCCGTGCTCCCAGGAATGGCCATCGCGCTCGCTGCTCGCAAGAACCCATTGCACGAAGATCCGAGCCGTGTATGCCACGCTGAGACACGAGTTATGTCTTGTCTCTCGTCCACTTCGGGCGTCCCTGGAATCTCATGCTATTTGGATAGTCTGCGCTATCCGGTACGGCTGTCAGGCGCGCCAATTCCGCGACAGATGCCGGAGTCTCAACGAGGAAAGCCTACTACCGCCATATATCAGCATCCGCAACTCAAGTACCGCGCACCCTGCTTCTTCTCCGACTCTTCGCAAATGAGGTGTAGTTCGCTCGGGCCGCGACTCTCGCAGATCGCCTCGAAATGCTCCTTAGACGGGCACTGCATGCGGCTCAATGTGACAAGACCCTTGGGCGAACATATTCACTGCAGAGGCCATAGAGCACCGGTCGACGGCGCTGGCCAGAAGCGTCGCCTCAGCAGCAAAAACTCAAGCTCAAGCTCAAGCTCTGCACGCTCCGCATAGCCTGGCAATCCGGTCTCTCGGCGTTTCTAGTCTGGAGAACGCCGCTGGCCCGGAACCGGGGCGCGTCTCTCTGCTCGTGCTATTTGCGGCGGATGAAATTCCTCTGCTACGTTGAGGGTAAACCTTGCAAACCCGCCAGTGGCGTTCTATTCTGCAGGGGTCCGCTGCTCGCGAATCGGAAAGCGTGGAGCTGTGCGTATCAGCATCTCCGCTGCGTGTCTGCCGCTTGGCTGACCAGTCACACAGGCTGACCTGGGCTGACTTAGCTCGATAAGGGGGGAGGCATTCCCGGCATGACGACAGGTTCAGGATGCGACGTTTTGTCTTGCGGTGGAGCGTAACCGCGCCCCAAGAACAGCAGAATTGTCCCCTACTGAGGCCGACGGATAATGCACCGGTACCAGGGTCCCGAGCCACTGGCACATTGAGCTCGTTCGTAGGAGAGCTCAGCGCTGCCGCGCGGAGCCACAAACGCTGAGCTCTGCTGAGAATCATCTCTTACGGCACTCACCTACTTTCTCAGGACGCAAGGCGCCTGTGGGGATGCGGATTTGCTACTTCGACTTCCAACTTCTCTAGTCGGCTGCAGTCAGGGCCCGAGAGTCCGAAGTCCGCCAGGCTCTCTGGGCCAGGCTGCCTTGCGGAGCAGAGGTTGGCAGGAAGAGAGGCCGAGAGTATCGGCATGCCGGAGCTGCATCACCTGACAGCAGGGTGCAGAACGATAGACCGCGGCCAAAAATCCGCGCTCAGACCGTGATAGACTACGCGAGCCTAAGATGGCAATCCTAACGTTGCCCGCACCACATCGTCCCCTCAGAGGCGGGGGATGGTGGAGCGACACCTCCAAAGCGAGCGCTTTGCACGCCATTCTAGGCAGTGATCTCCGTCGGATCGTGGTGCGACCTGAGCACACATTTTTGGCCGTGGTCTATCGTTCTGCACCCTGCTGGAACATCGGGCAGAACCCTCACGGTACCGGTAACACCGGAACAGAGGAGGTCGGTATCACTGACATCCCCGAGGGATCTTTCCAACATAAGTTCCTCAGTATGGATTCCAGCAGAAGTGGGGCGGAAGAGCTAAAAGCTTCTCCTTCGTACCGTTGTGGCCGCACTTGCTTCGGTCCGGCGGAAACGCATTGCTACTAGGTGACATCGACAGAACGGCGAATCCGAGGCGATGGATGGCAGTCTGTCGCATGTCAGCGTGGTATAGCACACTCCTGAACATCGGGATATATGACAGAGTATGCAGTGTGAACGAATACAATAGTGTTGTACTGGCCGACGATGGGCCGCGGACACCTGTGACACTGCGTAGGCAGCGAGGGCGGCAAAGACAGCGGCGAACTTCATTCTGGATTGCATCATTGCAGCGGGACGACGAAAGGGGCAAGCGTTCGTTTACCTGGGACGGTCGATTGGATGTGAGAGCTGGTGGTGAATAGAGTCGACAACGATTACCCCCTTCAATACGAATGAGAACAGCAGCGCAAGCCCCGGCCACGGAGAACAAACGTCAGCTGTTCGGGAAGGCCGACACGGCCCCGACGCCGTATTTCCAAACCTGTGTCTCAGCTATAGCGGGCGGGAATCAGCGGATCTAGTGCTCTGTGTCTCCCCTTCTCGATCGTGTCTTCCAGCAACATCTCGTTATAAAGAGGGGCAGCTGGGACGGTTGACACGCTGTCGATGCCTTTCTGGGAAGCGAGATGTTGAGACTCGGGATTGGGCGGGATGCACACCTTTTGGCTACGTCGGTGCCCGACTGGAGTCGGCCTACTCGGGCAGATTCGGCTACGGAATCTGTGAGCCAGGGCACTAGCATGATTCGAAACCTGTATTGGCGATCACGGGGACTTGTGAACACCAGTGATACACTCGGCGTGATCCTCCGCGGTGTCTCGCGGCACAACCACTTCGTGGAGTGGACCTGCGCCCTGTCGCGACATTCAGACTCTGGAGGGCGACAAGGGGTCACCAGGACCTCCTGAGCTAGAGCGCGCGCTTTTCACTTCGGGACAGCGAGATCACAGACTCCTGTTCTGTGGTTGAACCGATAGACCCACCCTAAAGTTGTCGGCAATGATCGTCCAAAGAAACCAAAAAATACGAACGACTACCTGCTATTGAGGTAAATCAAAGTTACGGATGAGGCGGAAAGTCAGCCGATATGACGTACAGTATGTATTACACGCTGTTCGAGCAAAACAGCACTCGTCGCCACTATGCGGGCCATTGAGAGCCCAACATCGCCGCCACGAATATCCATACGCCGGGAGCAAGAGCGAGACTGGCTCACGCACTCGCATCTTTCTTCTTCTTCCGCTTTTTCCCTTCTGACCCGGCGCGATCGGTCCCACCGTCAAGGTCTCGCTCCCGTTTACGACCGTCTGTGGGAGCTCTCCGGGTTGTACGGATAGGCTCATCCACGCCCGCGGGCTTGACGAAGCCATCTTCCATTTTCGCAGGAGGCGGCGGCGGCTGCATGGAGGCAGGTGGCCGTACAGAGACGTCCTCGCGGATAAGCATCTGCGCTGTTTTTGTTCGGGATTTCTTCCCGTCCTTGGTCGTTGAGATAGGTGCCCTGAAACCGGATATCGAAGTAGGTCTTTTGTCAAACTTGGACCGTGGCTTGTTGTCTAGGGTATCTGGAGCCAGCTCCTGGTCATCTTCAACAGGCTTGTCCTGAGAGCGTGTAAACTACTACATTTCGCTCTGATCAAAGACACGAGACTGACCTCCTGCACCACTTCCTCTCCGCGTGCATTGAATGTGCGTCGGCCTCTCAGTTTCGGCCTCTCTTCTTGGTAAGAGCTAGAAGAGGCTTCTCCTGCGTCCGATTGGAAGATGAAAGGCACGTAGGATGCCTCATGCACAACGTCGTTACTGCCACCCACAGAGGCGAACGTTATCCAGCTATAAGCACCGCTCTCGCCGAAGACATCGCCGCTTACCTCGCGCTTGCGCTGTGACCGATGCCCCATGCGTCCCGCACTTCCTGCGAAACCGACCACTCTGCGTCGTCTTTGATCTTCGCCTGTTCGAGTTCTACCTGCGCTTGGAGCTTTGCCCGCTGCGCATTTTGCATGAATCGCAGGCTAAGAGTGCCTTTGCTGAGCGTCTTTTCCGTCATTATGTCAGAGAAGTGAATCAAAGGCCACGTTGGGAAGACAAGCAGCCAGAGAGAGATGGCGAGGGCGAAGGGGATGGCCTCAAGGCTCGCAGCGAGTGAGAGTTGAGAGCAGGAAGTCGGTCCGAGTTCTTCGGACTCCGTTCCACGTGGACCGGCACTGCTTCCCCTTTCAGGCAACTCTACTGAACGCCTTCCCTCTTTTCCCCGTAGCAAGGTACAGTACTATCCGCGTTCCGATCCCCGATTGAGAAATATCGCACGTCACAAGAATTGGGCAAAAATTGAGTATCCTACTACTCCCGCCGGGACTCGAACCCGGAACCTTCAGATAACCCCTCGAGTAGCAATCGTCACGATAGGAATCTGATATCATAGCCATTAGACGACGAGAGCATGGCGGGGCGCCGGCCGCAACATTAGTAGTTCGCAAGATCCCCTACCTCTTGATGAGGGTCTCAAAACCTGCCAAGGCAAGGAGCAAATCTGGTGTTCAGGACTGCAGTGCTTATGAAGTGAGATGAATCGTGGATTTGCATTGTAGCTGGCTACCAAGCATGCTATATACGGCAAGTTACACGCGAATGCTCTCTGGCGGGCCCAAGTAGCTTGGGCGAACACCACCGGTATCTGGCGATGCGTCAGGAACATCAGTACTCATTTGCTGGATCCCAGAGACTGATACCGCACCGATGATAATCTTTTGGACCACGACCGTGGGCTCAATCATCCAGACCTATCCACAGCTTTAGTCAGACCATTTTCTACATGCATAGAAACTGACGCGAGACTCACCTTGAGCGTGTGCGCGCCGGGTTGTACGGGGAGCACCATCGGGACGGAGTTGATGCTGTTCGCCACCCAGCCGTCAACGCCGTTCCATGGCGCAGGGACCTGTCCCGGCACGGACGCGGGCACGAAGTACTTCGTCACCGGCGCGCCGTCGTCAATCTGAAGAGCGATGCCCAGCGGCCGGTCGTCTCCTAGGGTATTGAGGGACGGAGAGACGAGCGTCGTGATGGTGACGTTGCCGCCCTGGTTTCGGGTGTTGAAGAGGAAGAAGTCGTACTCGCTGAGAGGCTCCAGTGAGCAACTGTCGTCATCCAGAGCATGGTCAGCGATAGGAACTCACATGCTCGGACCACTCCCTGCTGTGAAGTTGAGCTCGCTGCCACCACGGGGCCATGGGGTGACAGCTGAGAGCGTTCGCCCATGTCCGGGGAGTTCGGTCCAGGTGATGCCTTGCACTGTCGTGTTCCTGGAAGAGTGCGCCGCTTCAATGGATACGGCGCCGTCGCCCTCGACGAAGCCTGCCGAAATTGAGATGAGCGCAGATTGTCCATAGAAACGGGAACGCGTATGTACCTTTGAAGCCATTGGGGACGACGGTATGGTTCGCAGTGAGCGTGACGGGCACCGACATCTGTGATTGTCCCTGAGGCGACGCCGTGAAGGTAAGCACAGCGGTCTGAACCCCTGACACCTTGCTCCAATCAACGGAGAGGAAAACCCTCTGCTCCGGGGAGCTCGGCGAGATCGAGCCCTTCGACGGCGAGATGTTGACCCACGATGCGTTGCTGGTGACGGTGAACGTGAAGGGCGTCGGGCCTCCCGCGCCGACGTCGACGAAGCGGTTGCCGGTGGGTACGAAGGGGTCGATGGTCAAAGCGGGGTTGGGGCAGCCGTATCCCTGCGCACAGTTGTTGACGTTGTCGCCAGGCCTGAACACGACAATGTAAGCCACGCAAGGGCGCGGATGATGAGGCGATCTACAGCTGGCTCACCAAGCTCCCATGCTGCCCTCGGGCACTATACGCATCGCACCGGCCAGGGCCTGCTTCGACGGTTGGACCTTAGTGATCATCGGCATCCTAGGGAAAGCTGTCAAACACGATAATAGATGGTAGTGAGGCGGGCACATACGTGTTCGTCATGGGCTGCTGCCAGTAGTAGTACATGACGTGCGTCTGATCCATCATGTGGTCCCTGTACAATGTCAACACGACTGTATGCGCTAGTACCGTGCGATCAGAACTGACCATTTGCCTGTGATTCGGTTATAACTCAGTGCTAATGGTGCGCCATGGAGAGAGGAGAGCGCGCACCGTCCAAGAGGCTGTGATAATCCTTCTCGAGCGCGGCGTCCTGCATAAAGAGGTTTTCGACCTCGTTCGCGTAGTCGTTCGCGCTTAGGCGCGCCTGCGACGCGCGGAGGTTGTTGATACCCGCGGAGACCCACATCTGCGTGAGCGTCGTCGAAGCCAGGATGGGGTGGTGCAGGAGCTGGAAGAACGCTGGTTTCGCGTTTGACGGGAGCTTGTTGTACAGCTGCGTGGAGGCCGCGACCATGCTCTGCAGCTCCGCCACGACGTTCTCTGCCCTATAGCACTCACTCAGCCTCTGTTCAAAGGAAGATGCGGCAAACCGAGACGCACTCGCGGTAGTTCACCAGGCTATACGTCGTCGAGTTCAGCAGCTCCGGCTTCCTGCGCATATTATGGCGCGTGACGTTATGCATCAGGCCCGCGACCAGTCCGGCGTCCTGCGGGGAGAGGTCGAACTCGCGCTGCGCCCACTGGGTGACGAAGCTCGGGTAATTCTCCGGCGTCCAGCGCCCGGCGTCCCAGGCGAGCGTGAGGAACCACTCGGTGTGCATTTCGTACGGCTTGAGGTCGCCGACGTTGAGCACCCAGATCTTGACGGCGTCGCGCGCGACGGCGAGCGACATTTGTTCGAAAGTCTAGTCGGGGACGTCAGCGTCGGGTCGTGCTGCCGAGTATGTGGTGAATACATACCTTCTCAATTTGGCTGCTCTGTGGGTGAGAGCGCGAGTTAGAACTCCTTGCGGTGTGATGCGCGGTCGAGGGTACTCACGGTGATCCACTTGTAGTCTCTCGGGTCGCCGACGTAGTCGACCTATGGACGGCCTGATCAGTATCCGAGGCTCAGTCGTTCATCTGGGTATGACTTACGTGGTAGTAGACACCAGCACCACCAGTCCTGTTCCGCTCGCTCGGCAGAGGGTTACGGCGAACGTTACCCCAGCTACACCACAAGGATCAGTTCCCGCCTAAAACTAGGAAAAGCGTGTACCGACTTGTCATCGGTCCACATGAGCGTGATGTCGTCCGGGACGCGCAGCCCCTGGTCGTAATATCCTTCGACTTCCTTGTCTACGCAGCGCGAAGGCGGTCTGTCAGGATTTCCAAAGGGCAGAACGATCAGGGAACCTACAGAGCGTCCAGACTTGCGGGATGTGCGTGACGTCGGTAGTGTTGTAGACGTTCATGAGGATCCGGCGCTGGTCCGAGACGACCTTCTCGAGGAGCGCGATGTTGTTTCCGGCGCCCTGCAGAGGTACTGCACGCCGCCAAGGTCAGCTCGGCCGCCCTGCCTCACAAGTCACGGGGTCAAGCGGTTACTCACGATCGCCTACAGAAAAGCATATTCATCAGCACGTTGATCGCCAGCCCTCGCGGACGCAAAAACGCACCGTTCCCCCGCATGCCGACCGTCCACATATTCTCGTACGGCTCCGCCCTCTCGGCGCCCTGGACCCAGAAGTCGTATATCGCCTGCGGGTTCGCGTTGTAGTCCCAGGGCCCCTTGCCGAAGAGGTTCCACTCGACGGGGATGGAGCGCATCATCGGCTCCTCGTGGCTCGTGCCCATGACGATGCCGTACCAGTCCGCGAGCGGCTGGTTCTGCGCGTCGTCGACGCCGAAGGCGCTGCTCCATTGCGCGGGCCAGAGGTGGTTGCCTTTGAGGCGGAGGATGAGCTCGAACCTGCCCGGGGTCCCACACGGGTTAGCATCTCCCTCTTCGCCGTCTCACCACGCCGAAGGGGTGTACAGGGAAGGCAAGGAGGCTCACAGCTTGGTGTAAAAGAAGTGGTTGAAGGGCGAGCCGGTGAGCGCGGCGCCGGTGCCGTTCGTGAACTTCTCCATCGCCCAGTTCTGGAGCGCGGGCTGCTCGTCGTTGAGGAAGATCGCGCGGTACTGCACCGTCGGCGGGCCGTGTGCGCACCCGCTTGACGTGACGAAGAGGTTGGTGTGTTTCGTGGTGGGGACGTCTGCCCACCTGTGGAAGCGTTAGGCTGAGCGGGAGTGTGAGGTTTAGTGCTGAAGCGCACGCACCAATACCAGGGGGAAACGCCTAGGCGATGTGCAGAATGAGCAGAGCATACACGACCGGCTGGAAGCGACACCTACCGAACTGCTCCGAATGGTCGTACATCGCAAAGATCGTCCCCCGCTTGTCGGCGCCGACAATCACGTACGCGCTCTGGATCCCGGGGAGCGGGTCCTTGACCTCCTTCGCCATGAACGCCTCCCACTTGCCCTGTATGCCCGACACGTCGAGCTTCGTCCGGTTCACGACCGCGTCGATCAGCGCGGACTTGCCCAGCGTCCCCACGATCACCACGTTAGCCCCAAACGACGACGCCTCGCTCTGACTCGTCAGGGCGGAGGAAGAGACGTTCCTCAGCGAGGGCTTGACGCCCGTCACCTGCTCGATGTCGGACGCGAAGTCGGTCGCGGCGCGCTGCACGCCCGGCCACTCGTCGGGCGACAACAAGATGGGCGTGGCTCTGCGGTTGGAGACGATGGGAAACGTCGAGGGCGCGGCCTTGAACGCGACGCAGGTGTCTTGCCCGATCGCGAGCGCGCCGCTGAGCAGCGCGAGCACGCCGAGCGCGGCGGTGGCCAGGCGGCTGCTGGGTGCCATAGCGCTCTGTCCTGCTCTTGCGTTGGCGTTGGAGCTGCGAGAGCCAGTGCGCCCGCACGGTGCGCGTCCCGGGCGGTATAAGTACGCGTCCGCGATCTGCGACTGCGGCGCGCACCGCAGGCCCGTCAGTCGGCGGCAGGGAGCACTACGCGCGACGGCAGGAGGAGCTTGTGACCGTCGCGCGGCCAGGCACTGTGCTCCGGACCATCCTCGGAGGCATTAATGATCGGGCCACGGGGGACGGTTAAGTTGGGCATGCGTTCCGTCGAGGACCTCCGCGGGTCAGAGACGCGTCGGCGGCCTTGAATACGCGAAGAGGCGGACCGGGCGATGGGGGCGTCACCTGATCGCGGGCGCGTTTCTTGAAGTTGGAAGTGGTGGTGCGCTGGGCCATCATTTGGCGCGGTTGACAGAAGAGGGGGTCATGGGCGCGAGGTTATTTTTGCGGGGATGATGCAGAAGTACGGGGGAGGGAGTGGGAGGGCCGGAGAGGGAGGCGGACTGGCGTCAGCGGGTCATGAGCGCAATGGAGAAGGCGGAGGGGGCGCTGATTGCGCGGGGCAGACGGGGTGCTGGGCTTCGCGTCTTCGTATCTTCGGGAAGCGAGGCTGTCGAAGGCTATTGAGACCGCGGTCACAAGAACGCGGGGGCGCATGGATCGTTGCGTC